CATCCGACACCAAATCGAAGGAGACGCCATCGCAAAGCGCGGCACCGCCCCTCTATCATCGGTTCTTGCCTCACCGAGTGTCATCGGTCCGTCTAACGCGCGCTATCCGAATTGAAACGAGTTTTCCCACGAAAGGCGAGAGAAAAGTCGGCGCGACTCGACGCGTTTGGGAGAATTCTTTTATGAGATTATCCGCATCGCCGTGATCCAAGTCGATCCGGGTCTGGTCGTAGCTTTTTTCGTTTGGTTTTCGTTCGGTCGTTCGACTTTGGATCCCTCGATGGAAACTCGTCAAAGTCGCGCGGCTGCAATCCATCTTGGCGTCTGCGATCGGCAATTAGTCGGAAAAGGCGGAGCGAATTCAAAGGATTGGCGAGGCGTGGCTGGCATCGAGATTTTCGTGGCTGTTAAAAGACACGTTCGTTTGTCTCCGACAGAAGATCGGCTCTCATTGATCTACGTAACGCCGGTGGTCTGTCAAGCTCGATGCTATTTCCATCCGACTTCCTGCCGACGGACAAGACAAGATCCTGTCAGCCCGTTCTCTCCTTCCAGTCTCTCTCTCTCTCTCTGTCTCTCTCTATTACTCGCATCCTATCCATGGATCTTTTCTCGTCCATAATCTTTAATCGGACATAACGCGAATCGTTCGTTCGAAAAAAAGAAAACGATGAATCGCGGATTGATATTCGCAGATAGATTTTCATTGGTAAAATTACGCATGTTCCAAACGGAAAGAGAAGGAAGCATGGTTGTCGTAAGTAAAACTCGCGATAAATAAAAAGATGGACGAGAGGGGGAGAATCGTTGCAGGTGTTGTGAAATTAATCGAACGCGAGGCGTGATAGCACCACGTAGAATCACAACATGGTGTACGGTAACGTTGTCGCGTTCCGTTTCCGGTGTTTGTTGCTTCGCTCCTATACTCTCAGACGTGGGCCGCCAACTCATTCAATCGTACGTGCTCGCGTATTTGTCCGCGTACTTTCCACGATTTTGGCATATTTTTCTTTTTCTTCTCTCCCTCTCTCTTTCTCTCTCTCTCTCTCTCTCTCTCGAGACGAACGAAGCTTGAACGAAGGTTGGAAGAATGGCGAGACGGTTATGAAACCAATATGAAATTATTATGGAATTTTGAAAATCGTAGGACAGGTCGGAACGATCGTTCTTAGGTGAGGAAAGACCGGCAAGAGGAAGCCGGTGGGTCTCCGTGGACACCGAATGGGGTGGCTTTCGACGGGGGGTAGAAGTTTGCACCGCCCCCGTGCCGCTCCAATGGGACGAGCTCGCGCGCTCCCCGTCGACCAATGGCGAGGAGCGAGCGCGTCGTATCGTGCCGTGTTGCGCTCCACTCCTCGGCGTACGAGCGCGTTACGAAAAACGAAAAAGAAGCTTGAGCGGAAGATGATGAGGGAGAGAGAAAGAGAGAGAGGGCACCCGCCGACAACCTCCTCCACCAACTGCATCGGCACCGACATCGGCGCGGAGTGATCGGCAGTGCCATTGGCACCACTACAATCGTCGTTCGCGTTACCACAGTAGCAGCAGAGCCGTGTTACCGCGCTCGACACGCGATCGACGCGATATTTTTTCCTATGATAAATCATTTCGCCCCGAAAAGATTTGCGTATCGGTTCGATCCTGTGCGAGAAGAAGTGTGTTTCGAGAGGTGATAACGGTGTTAGAGAATTGTTGTATCCGTATGTGATAAATGTCGCGGGGCTCGAGGGAAGCCGTTTCTTCTACGCTCGATGGAACTACGTTGCATAGGAGATTGATGTGCATCGGCGGTAAGGATTTATGAATGAAGATACCGAATGGCGGGGACGTGAATGAAACACGGTCGATCGAATAAGCGTCGATCGTTCGAGCAACGGATGCTTATTTTTCCGACAAGTTACATCAAACCGAAGGTACGCGTCGTACGACGTTCGAATCGCGTTTATTCCTCGGATCGATAACGCGAGTCCGCGATCGTGGTTGCAGGCGAAGCGCTCGGACGTCGCAACGGAGAAATGAGCCTCGTGTGACCGGCGAGAAGCTGAAAAATAACGAGACAACGAGAATGCCCGATAGTTCGGATCAATTGTCGTCGCCGAACAGCGAATGCAATAGCCAGATAGGTGTTATGCACCGGAACACGTCCACCGGACAATTTGACGATTCGTCGATGCCCGGGCTCGCGTTGACGCATCAGACGCATTCGCAAAATCTAACGTCCGCCTCGAACGGTGGTGGCAGTCTTCAGTATCCTCAAGAGTTGACCACTTGTAGTTCCGCGAATACGTCCACCAATATAGGAAACATCGGTGGACTTTCTCTGGGAATTACGGCCAGTAACTATACACCGGACCAGATATCTTGTATGTGCAAGGCGTTATCGCAGAGGCAGGATATCGAGAAGCTCACGAGGTAAAGATCGTTCCTTCCTTCTTCTTTGTTTTATTTTTTTTTTTTCTTTCTTTCTCTACTTCGACCGACTCGTCCGAGGGTTCGCGAATGTCGACCGGCGCCCATCGAAATCTCTTCTTATCGCCGGAGAGGACAAGGACAATTCGCGTTTCACGTTCCTCCTTATCTCTTGACCAAGTAATTTCAATTCTTAAAATTTAACGATCCCTTCGATCATCCTTCCTTTCTTCTTCTACTTTGCGTACCGTGTGATTCCCGATCTTAACACGTTCCTCGATCGAATCGTGGAAGAAATAATCGTGGTATCTAAAAGGAACGCACGTTTCGATGATAGGCTCCTATGGTCGTTGCCGCCTGGCGAGTTGTTCCGCCGCGACGAGAACGTGCTGATAGCAAGAGCCACGGTGGCTTTTCATCGGGGCGCTTACCACGAGCTCTACTCGATCTTGGAGAGCCATCCGTTCTCCTCGGATCGGCACCCGGAACTGCAGCAGATGTGGTACAAGTCGCATTATCGCGAGGCGGAAAAGATCCGCGGACGCCCGCTTGGTCCGGTCGACAAATATCGGCTGAGGAAAAAGTATCCATTGCCAAAGACGATCTGGGACGGCGAAGAGGTGGTGTACTGCTTCAAGGAACGTTCGAGAAACGCGCTGAAACAATGCTACATGAGGACCAAGTATCCACTCTCCGAGGAGAAGAAGAATTTGGCGAAGGAGACCGGCTTGACCTTGACCCAGGTGGCTAATTGGTTCAAAAATCGACGGCAGAGGGATCGCACGCCGCAAACGAGAACGTAAGTTTTTTCGCGCGTCTTTCTTTCGCGCGTCTTAAAAATTCTCCACCTCCCC